AAAAAAAAAAAAAAAAAAAAAAAAGTGATAAAAACACTATCATAGTTGACAATAATATACAAACAAATAACATGTCGAAATTTTAAAGAATAACTATAATTTTATTATCTAACCATCAATAAAATCATTTAATGATGTGATCATTATCTTTTAAATAATAAATAATAAAATAATAAATAATATTTGGATCCGGAAACCGGAAAGTCCCTGTACCAAAAAAATAAATAATAAATAATATTATTTTTTTAAAAAAATATTAGTGTTATATAATTAAATACAGGTTAAAAAATATTACTCGACAAATATTAGTTATAATGGATATTAGTAAAATCATTGCATAAATTATTTAAGGAAAAAATCTTTAAGATCATATTTGGATAGTAAATGTAAATATGCAAGCATTTAATGCATATAGTAAAAAAATTCCAAATAAAGTATGCATTAAATGTGTGTTGACTTTTCTTGCTACTGTTTTTGGTAAATAGGTTGGCTTTTAATATATATACTAGTGCGTGGCCCGTGCGACGCACGAGAAAACAATATTATTATGATTATGTTATAAATTAAATATACAAATAAATTAATCATGATTTAGCCATCGTTTTTAAATTAAACCGTATTGGACACAGTCCAACCGAATGGATTGATAACCGATTTATAATCAGTCTAGTTCACTTGAATAAAATATATGATATTGAATCCGTCAACACCAGTCGGTTGAACTGGTAAGGTCGATACGATTTTTTAAATAAACTGGCTATATATAAAATTATTTTAAATAACATTACATATTTAAATATAATAGAGATTTATAAATTGTTTATCAATTAACTTAAACATTTTAATTTTTAAATTTTTTGGATATTTAAGTAACACATTTTATTCAAATTTATTACAAAAAGTACTATATATATATATATATATATATATATATATATATATGTGTGTGTGTGTGTGTGTGTGTGTGTATTAAAGCATTTTTTAAAGAAAAAATATTAAATTGTATGATTTTTAGAAATTAAATTATATGATTAAATTGTAAGATTATATTAAAGCGTATTTATAAATTAAATTGTATGATTATTAAAGAAAAAAAATAAGAAAAATAATAAAACTACTATTTATGGACTGCATTAAATGTTGACCTATTTTTTTGCTACTAACTTTGGTAAATAGGATGACTCTTTATATAAGTATAGATAGATTAAATATATTTACGACTTTAATAGTTAATATACTTTGTTTAGAAATTAAACAGAAGAAAAGGATAACATCGATGGGATACAAGACTTTTTTATCATTTCTTTTCATTCTATCAAGATTTTTCTTGTTGAATGCATGAAAATAACTACAAAATCAATGAAAGTAATTTTTTGATAAAAGAATACTAATTCACTAACATACTTCCACCTAGCATTAACTCTCATCAATTTTATTTATTATATTTTTTATTTTATACTACTTTCTATTTTTAATATATGTTGTTTTGAGACATTGCACATTAATTAAGAATATTTTTTTTTGTCAATAATAACCTTATTTAATGAAGATAAAGATGAATGTTTTGAGAAAAAGTGAATAGTGAATATGAAAAGACGTAATGTGTTTATTAGCTAAATAAGAGTAATAATGAAAAAATATGTACAAAATCTCTAAAACGATATTTATTTGACAAATAGTTGATAAAGCTAGAATGACATTTAAAAAAAAAAATAGGAGGGAGTATTAATTTACAATCTTAAATTATTTCATTTTTTTTATTTTTATTTTCGGATAAGACAAGATTTTTGAATTTTTATTTTCAATCGCAATTTGTAATAAAGTTTAGCATATTTTTTATATAAACATGGAAAAAAAAAAAGAGGAAAAAGAAAAAGAGAAAGCCCCAAAAGCGAAGGACATTCAAACATTTGAACAACAGACCGCCATGTCTTCACGAATTTTCATGCCCAAAAGAGAGAAGAAAAGAAAGCCCACAAAACCCCCCCTCAAATCTAAGGGTTATGTGAGATCCTCCTCGCATATTGGCCGCCGGAGAATCCTGTGAATCCTCGCCGGCGTCTATTTTCATGGCGGAGGCCAAACGCGTGTACCACGTCTGGAAAGGGCGGAACGTAAGTCCTTTTGTCCAATCGTGCGCGCGTTTGTGTTTTCATGTGTGTTTCTGTTTTCAGATGCATATATTGCTTGGAAGATTCACCGATTTGGTTTGATTTAGTGAATTCGATTCGCAATTTCTTGCTCTGTTTTTAATTCTTTGGATAATCTATTTGCATGGTTGTTTTGTTAATCATCAATAATGACCTTTTCTTTTTGGGATTCTGTTGAAGAATATTGAGGATTGGTTCACACAGTTATAATTCTGTACGTAGAGTTGAGCTTTATGTGTGTAATTTTATGAAAGCTTCCTATATTAAACTCGCTTGGCGAAGTGGGTGTTTGGAACACTTGTGTTACTTGGCTCATTTTCGGAAAGCTTGCGTTGTTCTTCCCTTTCGATTCAAGAATTTCAATGGACTTCAAAACAACTTAACGAAGTGACTATTACTCACATACAAAGTTGAAATTGTTAACTGGTGCTTCTGTTTAAAACGAGTGTAATTCTTCCTGGTTATTTACTGACCATAGTCAGTGTCATGTTAAAATGTAAGCTTTGTTTTTCTTGTTTTGCCCCTTAACATGCAGAAATTCTTCTTTGGTGGGAGATTGATGTTTGGACCAGATGTTGGCTCGTTGTCGGTTACCTTGACACTTATATTGGCACCTGTCATCATCTTCTGTGCTCTGGTTGCAAGGAACCTTGTCCATGAATTTCCATCACGAAAAATCGGATGTGCTATTCTGTTACTCGTGGTTATCTTCACCGTATATGTTAGTACCAACTCTATATTTTTTCTTGAATTAAATTTTAATCTACATTTTCCTTGTATCTAAATTCTCATGTCCTAAAATTGGTATGCTACTACAACTCTTTTCATAGGATAGCCATGGAAAATTAGTAGCAACAAGCTAAGTTGGAATCCTTAATATTGCGGTGTGTGTGTGTGTGTGTGTGGGTGTGTGTGTGTGTGTTTTTAAGCATCAGGTTCACAATATGATAATGATTTTGGGTTGGTATAAAAAACCTATGGTGTATAGTTTATTTACACAAAACCCATATTTAAAATTTTACGAAAGTCGAAAACCCCTTACAAATTAATCAATCTTGAGAGAGCACATTTTCATAGTAAAGTACAAACTTCTAGACTATATGTAATTTCAAAAGAGAAAGCAGATTTTGTAACTAAGCTAACTCTCATGGTAACTTTTGTAACCATACTATTTTTAACTTTATACTGAAGTTGAAATGGCTGCGGCTGATCTTGTGAGATCAAGTGCATTCTGCGTGTATGATCTTATGTTTTCTTTGGTTACTTTTTATGTTCATCTTTCTGTTTTATAATTTTATCATTGTTTCCTTTGATAATAGGTAGTGCTCCTTTTATTTTTCACTTCGGGTCGTGATCCTGGGATTGTACCACGAAGCCCTTATCCTCCGGAGGAAATGTTAGGATATGATTCACCAGCATCTGTTGAAGTGAGTGAATACTTACAAAAACCACAATATCCTCGTACAAGAGAAATATTTGTCAATGGCCTTCCTGTGAGGATTAAATATTGTGAGACGTGCATGGTTTTTCGTCCTCCAAGATGCTCCCACTGTTCAATATGTGATAATTGTGTTGAAAGATTTGACCATCATTGCCCCTGGATAGGTCAATGCATTGGGAAGGTATTTCAAGAATTTTCTCTAACTTTAGTGCTCGCTATCCGTTTTACAACTTTTATGATAAGTTTCCAATGGTATTGACCCATAGAGAACAAGCTTTTGTGGTATGAAATATGATGACAATAGCTGAATTGAAAGAGGTGTTATTCGGTGAATTATAAAATGGATGTGACGTTGTTTCTTTTCCCTATTGAAATTGCTATATGACATCATTGTTGTTTAGAATGGAAAGCGTGTAGTTTAAATAAATTTGACTGATGGTTGAAAATGAGAGCGATCGAGCAGTCAATTACCGGGTTTTTTTTTTTTCTTTTTTACAAGCAATTACATCCTCAGATTCAAAACCAGGTATAATATAACACCTCAGGAATATTGGAATCTGAAGTTCAAGGGTAACCAAGCCTCTAGTAGCAATCACACTTCTGTTATTGCTCGATTTTAATTTTTAACAGTTCATTGTGATAACATTAACTAAACAAACAATTTATTCTGCAGAGGAACTACCGTTCTTTCTTTCTCTTCATTTCTTCATCAGCCCTTCTTTGTATTATGGTTCTTTCCACGTCTGTTCTGCACTTGAAATTACGTGCGGATAGTTATGGGGCGTTTTGGAAGGCCATGAAAGAGTCGCCAGCATCCGTGGGGTTGATAGCTTATTGTTTTGTGCTATTGTGGTTCATTGGAGGCCTCACGGGCTTCCATGTCTATCTGATGTGCTCCAACCAGGTTATTAACTTTCACCGAGCTATACTTGATGGATGCAGTTTTATCTTTAAAGTATTATCTTTAAAAAATCAGTTATTCTTGGTTCGAGCCGTAGTAATCTTGAGTTTTATAGCCAGCCTTGGTTCGAGCCGTAGTAATCTTGAGTTTTATAGCCAGCCTTGGTTGTCAGCAGGATTTTACTATTAAAACAAATTGTAGTTACTTTTCCTACCTATTTTTGATTGAAAGTTCAAAATGTGCCACCAATCATGTTGTGACACCAATCATAATGTGCCACATCATGTTGTGGCACCATAATATGGTGTCACATGTGGTGCCATAGAATTTCTGCTCTTTTTTTGCAATGGACCCTTCTTCTAAAACATAATTTAGTACCTATCTTAAGCCCATCACGCCCTTTTTGTCTATTATAGTTTTTAAATGGCTTTTGCATGTTTGTAACTTTCTTAGCAAATTTACTGCAGACGACATATGAAAACTTCCGGCGTAGATCGGATTCAAGGATCAACGTCTATGATCGGGGGTGCAAAAACAATTTGCTTGAAATACTTTTCGCGAAAACAGAACCCTCGAGAATCAAGCTTCGTTCGTACATTACAGATCAAGAGGTAATCAATAGTGAATCCTCATACAGGCCTAAAAAGAATAGTTTGAGGGAGGATAAAAGAGAAAAAGTAGAAGAAGACGTCGAAATAGGCAATGACCTCTTAAAGATATCTCAACGTCGTGCTTCTGTTGACCTCAGTTGAT